CTGGGTCGACCGAGCACGCAAACTTCTGAATAAGGGAAACGACGCCTGTCCGGGATGGCGACGCTGGCGGAGGCAGCCGGGGCCGCTAATGCTAGAGGTCTTTCTTCCTTTAGCTCTTTTTCGGAAAATGGGAACGGCTTGGGATGAGATTGTAAGCAGAATTCCAATAAGAGGTTGGTGCGACGTTTGGGTCGGCAAGGCGGACACGATATTGCTGCAGGTCGGAGCCACTGTCCTTCTTTAACACACAGCCATCCTCCGTTTGCCATCCCCAGACAGATGGCCCGCCCGCCCTCCGAAACACTGAAAGAATTATTATTAACAGTCATAACCCGAACCCTCTCATTGCCCCCCCCCCCAAAAAAAAAGAACCGTAACGACGAAAAAGCCACATCTGAGCCCGGCCCGGCGGCACCCGAGAAAGCAGCGCGACCTCCGCCCCGCACTCAGGACCACCCTGGAGGGAGCAGCCGCCCCGCCGCCGCCGAGACCCGAGTGAGTGAGTGGGGGACGTGCGGCCCCCGGGGACCCTCCCCGAGACCCAGCGGCCGGGCCGCTCCCCGCCCCGCTCCGGCTGTCCGCTCTGCTGGACGCTCCACGTCGCGGCCGCCCCCTCCCCCGCCCGGCCAGCGCTGTCCGTCTGCTGCCTCCCCTCCAGGACCCCCCCACAGACACCTCGTTTCCCCGTCTCCGGCCCGGGGGCACCCAGGGGCTCCCCTCGGGGACAGGGCGCGTTTCCCCAGTTCTCCAGATCCCAGCTCGTTCCCCGGAGCAGCTAACTCCCACCTCCGTGGGAAGGAGGGGATCAGGCCTGGTTTTGTGCTTGCGGTCTCGCGTGCCGGGTAGGGGGTGCTGCTTAGGCAGAGGGCAGCCCGAGGGGTGGCGGCCGGGTGATGGGCACCGGTCAGCGGGGACTGCGCGTGGGCCCCGGCGCCGGGATGCACCGCGGGAGCCGAGGTCTTTATCCTCTTCCGTGCTCTCGGGGGAAGCCGGGCGGGCTGTGGTCTCGGCGGGGCTCGGCGGGGTGCTTGGCCGGGAGGGCCCTGCTGCCCGGGGGGTGGACGGTGCCCTTGACCGGGAGCCCGCGCCCTGCTTTCCCCGCAGCAGACCACCCGGCCTCCCTGGGCACCTGCCCCGCCGCCGTCCTCAGCACTGTGCGGAGGCGGGTGCGGGGCGCAGGCTCGCGGCGGGGGCCCTCGCACCCAGAATCGCAGGTCTCGGGCGGCGCCGCGTTTCGGAGGGGCGCTCGCCCTCGCCTGCCCGGCTCTGGCTCCTCAGCCCCGCACTGGCGGCGGCTGAGGCGGGGGCCGCCCTGGCGCCTCCCCGCAGCCCGACTGGGGGCTTGTTTGGTTTAATTCTGCGGGCCCTCCGCCGGCCGCGGGCGCGCTGGGGCCGAGCCCGCCAGGCGACGATGGAAAGGGCTCGGCGATCGCGACCCCGGCCCGCCGGGCCCTGAGAGCGGACGGAGGCAGGTTGGCGGCGGGCCGCGGAGGCGGCGGCCGTGGCTTTATTGGTGCCAGAAGAAAATCATTAGGCGCAGGTCGCTAGTTCAGCGGCCCGGGGAGGCCGTGAGGGGAGAGGGGGAAAAGTTCAGCCTCTCAGGCAGCCTAGACGAACATGGTGGAGTGATAGGAGGCGGAGAGTAGGCCTTATGGGTAGGATTTATAAGAAATTAGGCGATGGGAGGGGGAGTCCTGCACCCCAGCGCGCATGTGCGTCGGAAACTTTTCCTCGGCTCCCCGACCCTCGGCCAGGTCCCCTCGCTGGGCATGCGTGGTTGGCCGGCTGGGCCCTCGCAATGTGCCCCGGGAAGTGTAGTGTGCAGAGAAAGTAGGTCACTTGGTTCCGCCTGGGCCGCGGGCGCTCGTGGACTACAGTTCCCAGAGTGCAGAGCGCGCCCGGCTGCCAGCCTCCCCGCCTTGTGTGGGCTGAGTCGAGTCTGTCCGGCTTCGGGGGAGCTAGAAAGAGGCCTGTTAAGGCGGAAGAAGCGTTGTAGTCGGCCCGTGCTGCCGGGCCTGTGTTTGGGAGCGGCTCCGTGAGGCTCCGGCCGGGTGGTGCGGTCGGCGGGGTGGGGCCCGAGCCCCGCGCTCGCTCTCCCGGCGGCGTTGGGGGCCCTCGCGCCCACCCAGTCCGTGACATCTGAGGACACCCCTTTCCCACGCCCGCGTATTGGAGTCCGGTGGTGCTCGTTGACAGGACGCCTTGAATATTAAGGCTTTGAGGCGCCTGGGTGTTCCTGTGGGCGTAGGGCCCGATAGATGGCCTCACCGCCGCTCCTGCTCGGCCCCTTGCAGACACAGCTGTCGTCAGAAGTTCCCTCCTCCCCGCAGGGCGCCGCGCCCCGCTCTGCCTTTGTCTTTCTCCTAAGAGCTTAGTTCTAAGCACGACCAGAACAGGGCTCTGGGTCCAGGCCCAACTGTTGGCAGGGCGGGCGGGCGGGTGGGACTTCAGGTGTAGTTAGAAGTTACACTCGCAACTGTAACCATCGGCAGAGGCAGATTTTGGCTTCGCCCGAGTCGGTGGGAGATGCGCGCCCGCGGCCGGCGCGTTCTTTCCATGGAAGGGAGCTGTTCCTGAACTCAGCACACGCCCGCCAGCGCCCGCCGTCTGAGCCCTGGAACTTGTCGCTAGCGTTTCAGGAACTGAACCGGCCCATTGGAGTGGTCAGGCTGTCTCCAGCTAAAGACAAGACAGCACCCGTGCTTTAATCCTCTGCCCCATAAGCTTCTTGAAGTCAGAATTAGAGCCTGAGCTGATGGAGCGGAAAACCTCGTTCTGGGTGTCTGGCGTTTTGTGAGGCCCCGCCCCGCAGCCATCTGGCCGGTCCAAAGGTGGCATCCCTACTTCCTGCTTCGCACAGCAGGTCGCTGAGGTGTGAGCTGGTGTCGCTTAGGCTGCACAAAGTGGTGAGTGGGCGGGGCTCACGGCAGAGTGCGGGTGTTTGGGGCGGGAGCTTGCCTCCCAGTGCCTTTGACCTGCGTTTTAAATGCTCTCACTGAGACGGAACCGTTCAGGGAAGTAGGTTTACTGGGAAGTAGGTTTGGGGCAGCGTCTGGGAGGCCTGAGAGGTGCAGACGCCCTGTGGTCTGGGTGGGGGAGAGCCATATGGCCCCGTGGGAGGAGTGTCCCGCGATGACGTCACGTCTGCTTTCCTTTTTGGAAACACACTCTGACTCCAGCCCCATGTTGGGGAGCTGGCGCCAGCTCACCTGGGCTTAAGGTCTCCTCCTGGACACCTCGAGTGGACCGCTGTGGCCTTCTCACACCTCTGCTCTTGAGGCGAGCCTCCGGCCGTGGGCCCCTCAGGTGGAAGGATCTTGTTGGGTTTACTTTTCTTCCTACATCTTCCTGAACCTGAGAGGGCCCTGGACGCGCCTGTCTTCATCATGAGGAGGCACTGGGAGAAATTTGAAGAGAAGTCGGGTGTTGGGGGGGGTGGCGAGGGGACACCGTGGCTTCCTGAATTCCGAGTGCTCTGTGCAGCTCGGGATGGCGTGCGGGCCTGGTGCTGCGGCTTTCCTCCGGCCTAGCCTGGACGTTGGGCGGCGGCTGTGTGTGCTCCCAGGCAGGCCCTCCCCAGAAAGCCCTTTTCTGAGGAGTCGGTGCTAAGAACGTCCCCAGGAGCCGTGGACCCAGGGCACTGTGCAGGAGCCTGCAGCCTCGGTTTAGCCCCTGGAACCAGAGGGATTTTAATCAGCGTTCAGCCCCGAGCCCTTCGCAGCCCACGGTCATGGATCAGTCTTGTCCCGTGCTGAGCTCAGCGGCACAGCGTTGTCCGGAGCGCAGCCCTGGGGGTGGGGTTCAGTTTCTCCCAGCAGGAGCCCTGGAGCGGCCCTTGTGCAGAGCATGGCTCCTGAGGCCCTGCAGGTGGTGTTCCTGGGACGGGAGGCCCCCCCCCCCCCCCGACCTCGCCAGTAGACCTCTGACCCCAGCGGGGTCGGCTGTGAGAGAATCCCAAAGTAACAATCTGAGTGTTTTTCTTGGGCTGCCTCCTCTCCAGGGATTTCCAGACACTTGATCAGCCTGACCCGTTGCTGGGGACAGGTGGCCAGACGGTCCCTGGGAGGCAGAGTGGTGACGGGTCCCCAGCTGGAGGCTTCAGGGTGATGGAAAATTTCTCTCCTCTGCCCGTCCTCATCACTTACACCCTCGACGCCCTCGGGCCCCGCCAGCGCCGCCCTTACCCTGCTGGCCTCCAGGGCCCCGCTTCCTGGGCGGCCTCCTTCAGCAGGGCCCTCGTTGGCCCGCGGCTCTGACTGTGACAGGGCTTGGGCTTTCCTGGGGTTGTGTTCTTGTTGCCATCCTTGGAGGCTCTGGCAGAATTCTTAGATCAGATCTGCAAACCAGACTGAGGCAGGACACGTGCACCCCCGGGGTCCAGGGTGACAGATGGATGTGACGGCGGCCAAGCCCCCAGTGCGGCTGGCACTGCTCCTTCCTGCTCGGTGACCTGTATCGCTTCCCATTTAAGGAGGACAGCTAGAATTTTAAACTTTTATCTTGGTCTGTGACAGTTTGGGGACAGGACTTCACCGAGACCTTGCAGACAGGGAGGGCCTTCCGTCCTGCAGCTGAGGTAGGGTTGGGTTTCCTGACGTCACGTATAGTGACCTCATTTCTGCATCCTCGACCTTCATGATAGACTCAAGCTGCTGACGAGGAAACGAGGGCTCAGGAGAAGGGGCTTGTCCACGGTCACCCTAACCTGGGTCTGTGTCCTGCAGGCTTGGTGCTTCTCTGTCTGTCCTTGGCTGTTGGTCACCGCTGTCCGACTGCGTTTCTCCTCATGCCCCTCTCTTTTCTCAATTCCTAGAGCCATCTGGAGCCCCAGGCTGCCCACCTCCGTCTCGTGCCACTGCCTGTGGCCTGTGCCAGTGCCCTGAGCTGATTCTCCCCTACGAGAGGACCATGCAGCTGGAGATCAAAGTGGCCCTGAACTTCATCATCTCCTACTTGTACAACAAGCTGCCCCGCCGCCGGGCAGACCTGTTTGGGGAGGAGCTGGAACGGCTCTTGAAAAGGAAGTATGAAGGCCACTGGTACCCTGACAAGCCACTGAGGGGCTCGGGCTTCCGCTGCGTCCACATCGGGGAGATGGTGGACCCCGTGGTGGAGCTGGCTGCGCAGCGGAGCGGCCTGGCGGTGGAGGACGTGCGGGCCAACGTGCCCGAGGAGCTGAGCGTCTGGATCGACCCTTTCGAGGTGTCCTACCAGATCGGCGAGAAGGGCACCGTGAAGGTGCTGTACCTGGACGACAGCGAATGCGGCGGCGCCCCAGAGCTCGACAAGGAGGTCAAGAGCAGCTTCAACCCCGACGCCCAGGTCTTCGTGCCCATCGGCAGCCAGGATGGCTCCCTGTCCGACTCGCCGTCGCCGGCCTTCGGCCAGTCGCCCAGCCCGACCTTCATGCCCCGCTCGGCCCAGCCCATCACCTTCACCACCGCCTCCTTCGCTGCTACCAAATTTGGCTCCA